TTTTCTTCCCTCTTTGTGAACTGAAGAGGTGCTGTGAGGGCAAAACTCACTGAACCAAGGCAAACTGCAGTGGCTGGAAGTGTGTCCCTAAAATACCCCAAGCAAGAGGATGTATGTGAGGACATCAGCCTAAGACCAGCAAGAGCAACAAGGCCCCCTTGGGAGAAATAATCACCTTAGAGTCTTAGCTCTGGCTGGGTTGAACACCCTGCCACAATGGCATCTGTTTCCAGCTGCCTCCAAAGTGATTTTTTTGCAAAGAACCCTACTTCTCAAGCAGGTAATAGATAAGAGAAACAGCACAACTCCAGGGTGGGAAAGCTATACTGCTTTAAAGAAAGCAAGTCCTTGACAGAAAGCAATAATGAGCTTTAAAGGGGGGAGAAAACGGGAAGGGAAGCTTTGCAAATAAGAGCTCTGGGATTAAACAGTAAAAAGTACTAGTGACACCCGCAGCTTTGGGGATGTGCTGAGATGAGAACAAATACCTGAATGTTTGATTACAAAGCTGGACTCCCAGGAACCTGCCTGGTTATGTGTGTCATAACCTGCTTTTAATATTCTCTGAAGATGTAACTTGAGAGAAACTGAGGTTCGTTACAGTCACGTGATTACGAAGAAGTGCCAGGGTGGCATCCACTCTGGATAGGTAAAAGGCACAGAACACATCAGAGAGAAGGGGACCCGATCTGGTACTTTTCCATCAAGAACCAATCACAAGCAGGATTGATTTCCTTTTGTAGGACAGACACAATGACAGTGCCCTATGAAGTATGCCTGCTTTTGTCATTGGGAGTATTTTTAGAATTACCGTTGCCTTTTATGACTCCCCTAGTAAAGCAGATTCTCTATACAGAGTGTGAAGCAAGCAAACAAACAAACAAACAAAAACCTCAGTTTTCTTAAATGACTCATTCAAGGTCACAAATGAGCTAATATAAGAAATAAGAATTCCTCTAAGTTCAATGTTTTATTACAGCTTTTTACTCCTACGGGATAAATCTTATATTGAGCGTGTCTTATGAATAGAACTAATTTAGAAGGGTTTATCCTGATGTGGAATTGAGGAAAAGGTGCTATAGTAGAACGCTATGAAGACAGGGGCCTCCTCGACTTTCACAGAGAAGGTAAGATTGCTGAAAAGGATGAAAAGGGGGGAGGTCAGTAAAAATCATGGGGTTGGGACTTTAAATGGAAAGTTCTTTGAGTAGCAAAACAAAGAGAAATCCAAGGGATAAAGTAAAGTAAATAATCATAAAACAATCAAAGACGCAAATATGGATATAAATCTATTTCAACACAAACTTTTAAAAACTAAGCATTGGAGTATTTTGCTCCCACTCATTTCTGCTTCAACATTTCCCCCTTCAGATCAGCCCAAAAGATCTGAAGAAATATACTTCCTGTACACTAAATGAATGTTAGAAACTAAACTTAAAATTTCATTAGAAAAAAATCCATTTCCCTTAAGTATCCTCATCTTTCCTTAATATTTTCATTTAAAAAATAAACGAAGGCATTAGTCATGCATCCCTCAATTGCAGGTTGGCCTCTTGGTTTCATTCTCTGCAACGGGCTCATGCCAAACTTTCCCAAGCTTGCAGCCATCATCCGTTCTCTTCCTGAAGCTCAGAAGCTAAAAACTCTGGTCATCCCTGGTCATGAGCATTTGGGCCACAGCAAGATAAGAACCATGGCGCCCAGGTGCAAAAGCAGCTTTCCCAGCTCAACTTGATTACTTGGGAGAAAGGAACTTGATCCCTGCTCACAGCCACCAGGGCCATTTCACTGGGAAAAAGCAGATGTTGTGTACACTAGTTCACTGGTCCAGAATCAAACCCATTCTGAGAAAGAGACTGTGGAGGTGGGAAGCTCTGTGGTGACGTGGGGAGGCTGATTTTAATATCCACACTCATCCAGCAGTAGAACCCCTGACCAACGCTGCAGCAGTCCACGCCTGGGTGTCTAGGGTCTGCCTCTAACACTGCCTCCACTGTTCTCTCTTGCACCAAAAGCCTGTTTTTCACATCTTTCCTATTTGGCATCCTCAGCAGAAGTGTCTGACTTGATGAGCTGGGATGTAAACACAGAAAGCCTACAAGAGAAGCAAGCTAGAATCCACAAACCCCCAGGGAAATGTTCACCAGTACTCCAGTCAGCATCCTTGAGTTCCAGAGGGGCAGAATTCACATCAGTGGTAGAACTCTAAGGCAAGGATCTGTCTGAAGCACCATGATAGGACCGGAGCCATCCTTGACTTTCAGTCCAAATCCCTCTCCTTGTTCAAGTGCAGCTCGGGGCAAAAGAGAACAACTTGCCATAGATGGGGCTCAGCTCGGCATCCCATGACAAATCTTTAATAGAAATGGATGCCTACCTCACTCCACGTTCTGTTTTAATTCCCTGTATGATAGAATGAAGCTAACAAGGAGAGGTCTACGGTGTCACAGCAGGTGACAGCTCACAGCTTTTTCATAATTTTAAATGGCTACTGTAGTTTAGGGGTAAACAACTTCTCCCAGGTACTTTTGAAGCCAGTCACTCTGCCAACTGTCTGAAGACAGGGTAATTGTCACTCTTCTTCCCATAACTTCTTGTTTTCATATCAGTGGCTGGCAGGTTTATCTGCTCCGGAGCAGCTTCTGAGCCACGTCAGTGACACTGGCTACGTCAGCAAGAGCAATTGGAAGGGAGGAGACTGTCACTGCCAACAGCAAGGGGAGAGAAAATTCTAGCCTTAAGGATAAGATGATTCTTATGTCTTTTTCTCTGTGTAATAGGCATGGCTTCCAGGGACCTCAGACATTATGAAGTTTCATCACTCCTTCTTAAGGTTTGGGATACAAGGGCATTAAATTTCATTTCCAAACCCCTTGTTGTAGACCTACGCTTACTTAAGAAGCAGTGGGTTTCAAATGTGTCAGAGTATAGAACACTCTAAGTATCTAAAGCTACACCAAGCACACCTAGACTGCCTTCTAGCTCAATTCAGGCCGTCAATAGGTCTAACTGCTTTCACTGTTGGCGCTAGTGACACATGACACCATAATCACCCACAATTTGATTAGGGTCCTTGGCACAACGCTACTCCGTAGTTGATCTTTAAAGCAGATGTGAAAGCCTCTGCCCTCTGAGACAGCAGTTCTTTAAAGTTCACAGCTGCAGAAGGATGATTCTGTCCCATTGTCAAACAGTCACCTCTGGTCCAACACAATGTAAGGAGACAGACACACGGCCAGTATTGCTTTAGGAGATTCTGTTTGTGAGGAAGAAACAAAATGCTAATGCAGAAGGGAGTGAGTTCAAAACGAAACACCTTGTAGAGCACAAATATATATTCACAGGTGAAAACAGGACCCTGCCAGAAAAGCACAGTGATTCGTGACTGTCTGAAAAACCGATAATGCCAAATTTTTGTGGAAAGATCCAGCTTATGATTTCCGAGTTCCTATAAGTTGTTTCATCTAATTCATAGCTAACGGTGGACAGAGTCAAATTCAGAACGCTGTGGGGTTTCGTCTGCATGGACTCCTGACATTCTAACCTCTGGAGCAAGCCCCACAGCCTCACTGGGAGTTCGGTTTCCCATTACATAATGCCAACTACCAGTAACTTGCTGGGCAGCCACAGCCAAGCCATTTTATTTCCTGCACCTCTCTCTGTTCTGAGTAGGAATACAATGAAGACCATAAGCTGCTTTGCAGGGCGAAGAACTAAGAACACGCCTAAAACAACACTTCATATGATTACAGTGAAGAAAGAATTGACTTTTGTCATACTGAGTGCCATTCCCCCACAGGGTGACCTCAGTTCTCCCTTGAAGCTGTGCAGATGCTAAGCGATCTGTATCAGGGCTCTGGACCAGGGTGCTTGAACCTCACAAGGTCTAGAGCTTGCTTTAAAAGGTGTCCATACACTCCAATCTCCAGGAGGCTGGAGACACAAAGCTTGAGAACCACTGCTATCCGAAGCCTTGGCTACAGGTGTTCTCTCACACAGCAACACTGCCCAGCACCGAAGCGAAGCCTGGGAAGATGGCTACAGAAGCCAAGAACAGCAGCTTAGAGGAAACCTGAAGAAAGCCTCAGGTCCCTACCCTTAACTTCTTCAGTCTCGGTCTTCAGGTTGCCCCAATCTGTCCAACGGGGATTTCCTCGTTTATCAGTGCCTAGATTGTTCCCTAATAACAATAGTAACAATAACAACATGGACTGAGAAGGGCCCAGAGCTAGAAATGCCTGCTCTGTCAGCCATTCCATACTGAAGACACCTGTTGGAGGGGAAGCAGAAGGGTCCCACAGGACTCTGGGAAGGACAGATGGATAGCTTGCCTGGCAGACATTATTGTGTGTAGTGTACAAATGAACCAGGGAGGAGTGGAAGAGCTTCTGACCTTTCGGAAGTATTAGGAGGGTGGTGGATCCTTCCCAAACAAGACCCAAGACTGAGCCTTGACCAAGAAATTGTGCTTGAAAAAAAAAAAACAGACAACAGAAGAGGGGGTGCGGAAAATAATCAGGACACTCTTCACAGAGGGAGGGAATGTTCCAAAAGATGGACATAAGTGAGGTTATCATCCTCTGTGACGAGGTCAGGAAGAAGCAGGGTGCTCTTAAAGAGGAGAGCGTGAGACGAGAATTTCATTCTCATTTTTCAGATCTAGGTAGCTCGCATGAAATCACTTAGCACTTACAAAGCATTCTGCAGTTTAAAAATATTATGGCATTCACAATCTCATTTCGTTCTCATCTGCCTGGAAATGCTAGTTCCGTTTTCTTCCATTTTACACAAGAGGAAACTGAGGCTGGGTACAGGATTAAGTGATCCGCTCAAGGTCACGTGGCTGAAATCAGCCGAAGGAAGCAACCAGGTGCCCCTCGCCCTTCAAGGTGGTCGTCCACCTTGAAGTGTTAACTCCTCAAGGAGAAAGCTGACATAGCTGCACTGGACTTGGCCCTGCTCGCGAAATTTGGGATGGAGCATTGCCCTCCAGTGCCAAGGAGGGGACCTGATGACGCGGAGCCACAGACCGGGATTTCCCTATTCTGCAGGGTTCTCCGGAGCCTGGAGCAGAAGCCTTGGCTCTCACACACCCGCGGGTGAGTCAAGTAAGGCTTATAGCAGTTTCTGGATAGAGATTTAAAGAGAGAGGAGAGGGACAGGACTGGGTGAATTCCCTTCTGAGCGGTCCCAGTACTGCCATCAAGAGCAGGCATAGGTTTCTGGACTGGGCTTCCCACTCTTGCCCCTACCCCACTGGCTTCTTTCTTGGCGGTCCCCTAGAGCCAGAAGGCAGCTCAAACGAGGAAAGGGACGGGGAAAGTGCGGAGGTGACAGGAGGCCGGTCGTGTAGCACCTCTGATCTTCTGGGTCTGAGCAATCATGAGCCAAGCCCAGCTTGAAGTTTGGGCATCAAAGGTTTCAGACCAAGTAGCGAGTTGCCCCGAGAGCGAATCGTCCCGGGTGGAGATCTGAGAGTGAGAGGTGGGGACCCGGAAAGAGGGGAAAGGCTGGAGAAGGTGCCGCTTCCCAAGCCCCTGGATAGGTGGCTGGTCCGCCTCTGCAGCCCGCGAGTGCGGAGAAAGCGCCCCGCACCGCGGCGCAGCGCAGCCCCTCCTCGCTGCGCCGCGCTCCTCCCCACCTGCCCGCCGCCTCGCCCGCCCGACCGCGGAGACTCACAGTCCGCAGGAACTGGATCTCATCCTCGCCTCCTTCTCCGGCTTCGGCCATGGCTCCCGGGGATTGCGCGGCGCCCCAGCTTCGGGCGCCTCTGTTTCCCCCAGGCAGCGGCGTGCGCTGACTGCCGCTCTGCCGTTGCTCTTTCTCCTCCTCGTCGTCCTCCTCCTCCCGCACCTCACTGAGCCTCGGCAGCGCCGAGCTAATCCCCGACCATATAGGGAGCTGGGCTAACACTTGACTGCACTGCAGAGCGCCAATGCCAGGCGAGCAGCCCGCCCACCCCTCTCCCCTCTCGCCCCAGCCAAGTGCGCGGCCGCCGCGGACTCCGCGGACAGCGCAGCGCGGCGCGCGCCAGGCGGGTGTGGGGCAGAGCCGGGGACCCGGGCCGGCGCGGTGGAGCCTCCCCCGCACCGCACCGCACCTCACATTCGGTGGAGACGCGCGCCCCGCGGCGACGGGAAGATGGCTCTTACACAAAGGCCAGTTGCTTAGATTCGCTGCCCCCAAATTGGGCACAAACCCTCTAGATTTGTCCACTTTACGTGTGTGTGCATGACTGTGTGTGTGTGTGTGTGTGTTTGAGAGAGAGAGAGAGAGAGAGAGAGAGAGAGAGAGAGAGAGAGAGAGAGAGTTGATTTCCTATTTGAGTTAGAGTGCCCATCTAAATAGAAAATGGCGTTGACCCACCACCACCCGTGGAAGACTGGGTAGTTTGGGTGTACCTTGGTATAACATACAGCAAGGAGAGAAGGGTGCTATGACTGTTCATTCAAGGCAAAGTTTGTAACTCACCTTTAGAGAACCCCTTCACTCTTTAAAATTTGATAAGGGGGGTGTGATAATCAGAATGTACATTACACATGCGTGAAATTGTCAACTAATAAACTCAAATAAACGTTTTTTTTAATATATATATGATAAGGACGGACACACTACACCTCCATTGAATAAAGATGCAGTAACCCCCAACATGCTTCAGGGGGCTCCCATTTTGTCCTTGATTTGGAAGTTAGATGACATCAGAATCTTGCCTTTTGTGAGCATCTTTACCCTTGTTTGGCTCTTTCGCTTGTCAGTTCCGTGCACTCTGAGAATGAGCATATACAATAGGTCTTAGAAGGCTAACACTAACCCACTCAGCCTTGCGTCGTTTATGTAGGATTTGGGAGCAATCTTATTGGTCCTCTGCAGACTCAAGGTGCAGGATGCCCCTTCTGTGTGCTGGTCAAGAAGTTTCCTGGCAAAAAGAAATATTCAAAGGAAGAGCCTCGAGAAGGAATGCAGACAAGTGGCAGCTCTGGGTTTAAGCCTAGCAACTCTTCTAAAGTCTGCCTGGGACAAATCAAGCCATCTCTATACTGTGGCATTTTACATTTTGGGAGCCCCCTGGCTGTGCTCACCTCTATGCCCTCTCTTTGGATAAAGATTCTTTTTGTCTCCATCACTGGGGACAGGAGTACATTTTGAAAGGCGAAAGGCCTCTTAGATTTCTAAATCCTCAGGAAAGCTATCAGCCATGGTTAGAACTTCAGCAGAACCCACAGAAAAAAATGAAGTATTTTCGCGATGCTTGAATTGTTGAAAGTCAGCAAGGAAACCAAGAGCATTTGAATGGACAGGGACGGTGCAGCGGACACCACTACAGCTGAGGGACAGCCGATGCGGCCACATAAAAATGTTTGTTTTCATTCTTTCAGCTCTCATGGTTCACGAAGTTCTGAAAACACCACTGACTAATGAAGATATTCCTGTATTTATTTAATCCTGCTTACTTGCCACACATGAGGGACTCTTGGGTGTGTTTTATCAATTAGAAAAACAAGGCTCTAATGGACTAGTGGAAAATGACCAAGGCATCATCATATAAATAAGCATCTCATGCGACAAGGATTGTTATTCATGGTGGCCAAGTACTCAGACGGTGTTAATGGGGCCAGCGCTGTGTATTCAATCCCAGGAAGGCTGGTTAGTGCCACTCATTTGTGAGTTAAAGATGTAGCCCCTTCACTTTGTCTCAAAACCTCAAAAATCTTGGTTCATTTAGCAAAAAGGAAGGCAGTGTTGAATATAGTAACAAAACTATTCTTAAGGACATAGGAACTAAGAGGTCACATTTGATATTTTTTTTTGCCCATGTGGACCTATAGTAAACTGTATGTAATGTTAAGCTTGCCTTCAATGACATTTCAGCATCACCTCCAGTGATGACTAATCTTGGCTGTCAACCTATCATACCTGGGAAGAGGGAACCTCAGTTGAGGAATTGCATCCATCAGATGGACCTGTAGCCAGGTCTGTGGGAACATTTTCTTGATTGTTAATTAATTGAGGAGGGCCCAGACCACTGTGTGTGTGTGGGGGGGTGTCACCTTTGAAGATGTGGTCCTTGTATAAGAAAGCTAGGTGAGCAAGTCAGTGAGCATCATTTCTCCAAGGTTTCTGCCTCAGGGTTCTACGTTGGTGTCTAATTAGGGTTACTGTTACTGTGATGAAACACCATGACCACAGACAACTCGGGGAGGAAAGGGTTTATTTGGCTATCATGTCAGTTCATCACTGAAGAATTTCACCAGCGGAACTCTAACGGGGCAAAAGCCTGGAGGCAGGAGCTGATGCAGAGGCCTTGGAGAGGTGCTGCTTACTTGCCCATGGCTTGCTCAGCCTGCTTTATTGCTGAACCCAGGACCACCAGCCTATGGGTGGTCCCACCCACAACAGGCCCTCCCATACTAATCAATAATTAATAAATTAATTATATATGCCCTATAGGCTTGCCTGCAGCCCGTTCTTATAGAGGCATTTTCTCAATTGAGAATCCCTCTTCTCTTATGATTCTAGCTTGTGTCAAGTTGACATAAAACTGGCCAGCACAGTTGGCTCCCCGATGATGGACTACAACCTAAAAGCTAAAATAAACCCTTTCTTTCACAAATTGCCTTTGGTCATGATGCTCATCACAGCCAGAGAAACTACACTAGAAACATCATCTGTTTGCTGAAATGCATTTCTCCAGCTAATTACGCTTATGCTAGCTCTGTACTGACTCAGGTTCCACTTTGAGAAAGGATAAAGGCAATAATTTTAAGAGCTGAACAGTTGAGGAAGCTGATTCTGCTGGCACTGCTGAAGAATGCATGGGCAGCCCATATATGGCAATCTATTGAACTTGTAATACATAACCATAAATGTGAATCCTATCCATATATTGACTGAATATTTATTTTTCCATCAGCGAAAGGAAAAAAATCTTTCTGTGTTTTTCACTTGGGTGTTTAAGTCATGAATCACTTCTACATGTGATAGGACAAAAGGTATCTCTAATGCGGTGGCAAATTTCCATTGTCAACTTAGCTAGATTTAGAATCACCATAAAAACATTCTTCTGGGTCTGTCTATAAAGGAGTTTCCAGAAAGGTTTGACAGAGAAGAAAAAAAAACCTACCCTGTATGTGAGCAGCATTATAGCATGGTCTGGGGGCCAGACTAAATTAAAAGAAGAAAGTGAACTGAACACCAGTATTCCCCCACCGCCCCATGTGTGTGTGTGTGTGTGTGTGTGTGTGTGTGTGTGTCTGTCTGTCTGTCTGTCTGTCTGTCTGTCTTGTCTATGGACACAATATGACCAAAAACCTCAAGTCTCTGCCATGTCTTCCCCACCACGATAGACAGTGCCCTCAAACTGTGAGACAAAATGAATTTCATCTTTAAGCTGTTTTGTGGCAGGCGTTTTGTCCCAGCAAGGAGACAAGTAACTACTTCATCCACCTGGAAGCTCATGAACAGAAATAACATAAAAGTACACCACCCTTTGGTATCAATAGGCAGGATGGAAAACATATTTTACTAATATTTTCAATGTTTAGATGTGGTATTATTCATTTCTAAGACATCTACAATAAGCAACTAAGGTGGTACCTTGATGGGGGAGAGTCTTCTGTTTTGTGTTAATTTCATTGGTTAAATAAAGAGACTGCCTTGGCCCTTTAATAGGACATAAAATTAGGTAGGCGGAGTAAATAGAACAAAATGCTGGGAGAAAGAAGCTGAGTCAAGGAGTCACCATGATTCTCCTACCGGACACAGACGCAGGTTAAGATCTTCCCTGGTAAGACACCTCGTGGTGTTACAGGGATATCACAAATGGGTTAGATCGATATGTAAGAGCTAGCCAATAAGAGGCTGGAACTAATGGGCCAGGAAGTATTTAAAAGAATACAGTTTCCGTGTAATTATTTCGGGGCATAAGCTAGCCTTGCGGGCTGCCGGGTGCTGGGGACACAGCCTCGCCACTCTTATTACAACAGTACCTATCTGTTCTACTGACTTAGAAGCAGTTCTCTTCTTCACTGGAGAAGGGATAGGTGTATGAAAATGCATTTCTTCTTCTGGAGATATCTGTTTCTCTCCCAGAAGAGCTACA